TGACGACTCCCTCAGCCTCGTTAGTGGTTCCGACATCGTTGACGACGATGAGTAGAATAGAACTAGCAAATAGGGTTATTTTGCCAGTAGCTATGTTTAGGGTTTGAACATCTGTAAAAGTTATAAACTTGAAATGAAATTTGTGACATTTGCATGTTATTTGAATGAGTTGCGAGATTCGACGGGAAGTATAACAGACTAGCCCTTTTTGCTACTTATATAACAATGTGACAAGTGGTGACCCATATTTCAAATAAAAGTGTCAAAAGTGGTTTTTTGTGTGTGAAGGAAGTACCCTAAAGAAGATTGAATTACGACCTTTGTAATTTTCACCCAAATTAGACAACATTGTAGGCATACTGCCAAATTCATGGATTCAATGTTTGTTTGCTATATTTCTTTGATTTTCTGATTTTCTAGGCATTTACTTAAGATAATTGAAATTTGAACTGTAAGTGTGGTCCTAATAATTTGGAGCTTTGCAATTTTCACCCATTATGACTTCAGTTTTTGCAAAATAATAAAGGAGATCAATTTATCTTCAGAGCTAACAACAGAATGTTTGTTTAAAACTGCCGGCGGTACACTATGTCCAAGGTCACTAAATCTTGGGCCCATCCTTCGCGTCCGTGAGTACATAAAAGTGTGGCTCTATTACACACGCGCGCGCTTTTACGATGTGGTTACAACGGCCGGTCACGAGTTTGAGTATCTCTCACATCATTATAAGCCACCTTTTTGTGCCAATTAGTCAGACACTAACACATGGGCCCTAAGGCCGCTTATGACCGCACAGCCACTGACAGATGAGCCGACAGGGGTGTCCAATGTGTCAGTAAGTGCGCGATGGGCAATGGAGCCACCTACGGCCACACAACCACTAACAGATGGCCCAGCAGGAGGTGTCACATGCGTCAGTAACTGCGCCAAGTAACGACAAACTACTTTGACTCCACAGCAACCCCCATTCGGGTATTTGTATGGATGGGCCCCGCGGTGGTGGGGAAAAGTGAGAAATGACAAACAACATGTACAAAACTGAGAAGAACTAAAAAAGGAGGGGCTTGGAAATGAAAAAATCCTTTTTAATTGTTTTGCTATTTTTTTGATTTTCTTGTTCATCCGGGAGCATATGAGCTGGTCATCAGCTATGGATTATCTCACATCAACAGTCATAAATTACACGATGAGATGAAACTTCCTAGCTATTTTCATCGAGACTCCGGAACCAAATTCGCACATAACAATTACAGACACGTTGGAGTACATTCCCCGCTGTGTGCCACTTTAGCAGCACATGCACGCACAGTGCTGCCGCGGGAGAGGAGCTTTCAAATGATCAGGACGTGGATGGTGAGCTAGCTGGGCTAACACAGCTCCAACTACCGTCACATAAATACTTACCCGACTGATTGGGATTCCATTTCCATGCGTACGGCACGTGAACAGCAACAGTTCCGTGGATCATCGATCCATTTTGCAGCTGGATCATCGTGCGCTTTGCCTTCTCGCGATACGCATGCATATCCGCGCTAATGACGGTGGCTGGATCATACATCGATCGCCAGCCCAGCAGCATGCACGCAGTGCCCTACAGTGTGCAGTGCGCGCGAGAGGAGCTTTCGGCCACGACGTAGTACTACGCTAGGCTTAGACGACTCCAACCACCGTCACATAAATATGGACCAATCTCTTGTCCAATCAATTCCAAGCTCACTGAACAGGAACAGTTCCATGGAAGCTGCTGATGAGTTGTGATGGATCAGTGGCTCACTGGCTGGGCTGGCGGTGCCGGGTTCTCATAAACATCGTCCCTTATTCGCGCCGTGGATGTTGGTTTTTATTTCTTAAAATCCAATAGTGTAGGCTCTTTTTTGGGAAAGAGAAAGGGCGAAGAAAAAATAATGCTCGAACCACCAGGATGGTGATTCAAGAAATTAAACATACTCCCTCCGATCCTGGTTTGTACTAAATCAGCGTTAACTAATATAGAGGTTTTGATGCCTTGTTGGTGTTGCTCGATCTTCAAGTATTCCGTATAGAGGTTTTGGTGCCTTGTTGGTCTTGCTTGATCTTCAAGTATTCCGTAGCTAAATGCACCGATGTCCACCTATTGAGCCCTTTCCGCTATATCCTTATTATGTTAAAACTTTTAAGATGTTGACAGTTTCTTTAATGAAAATTGATGAGGAAGCTCGTTATCGTTGCTTAAAAAAAACTGTAGTCCCAGTTGCGTCACCGGCATGGAAAATTGAAGTCTCACAAAAAATTAGTCTTTATCTGGCTTCTAGTTAGAAAAAGTGTCCCGACTAAAGATAACCTTGTTAAAAGGGGATGGTCTCGAAACACCAAATGTATGTTTTGTGGGGCTGAAGAAAATATTGATCATCTCTTTCTACATTGTTCAGTTGCTAAATTCCTTTGGTGTGTGCTCCAAAATACTTTTGGGTTACCTAACTTTCCCATCAATGTGGAAATGATGATGTCTTCCTAGTTATCTCAGTTTGAGAATAAAAAGATGTATGTTGGAGTATTTGCTTTGCTGTGGTCTATTTGGTCTCGCGGGAACGACTAGAGTTTTGAACGCAGAAGGATTATTGACCTTTTGCGATTCTTCATGAAACTTATCGGCTTATTGAATCATGTTCCATTTTGCAGATAGGCGAGGAAGAACAAAGGGAGCTGAGGTGGGAGGTAAAGCTTCTAGAGCGGGTAGCAAATGAAGTGTTCAACGTGTCGAGAGGTGGCGCCCTGGAATTCTCAGGATTGTTGGTGGCTGAAGATGTTGATCAAGCATTCTGGGCCTCAATCATCTCCGACGACGACATCTTTACTAGAATGTTGTGCGCTTCTCGATTCGACGGCCTCACTTTATATACCATGAACTCCCATATTATTATCTGCCTGGTCTGTGATAAGTACTTTGTCGTAGTTACTTTCTTCTGCATGCTAGGTCCCTGATGATGACTATTTCGGATGGCTGGTGTCTTTTGGGCCTACCTCCTGCCTTTTGGCTAGTAGGTTTCAGCCGGCCCTGCAAACTTAAATGGGTTCTAGAGTGTTGCAGGACCTATCTTGCTTCTGCCAGATGTTAGCTCTGTTTCTTTTTTTCTTTTTTGAGGGGTAGATGTTAGCTCTGCTGATGGGTGCGTTGTGGTGGATCTATTATGGTTTTCTTAATGTAAATCGGGGGTGACCCCTTTTTCCTAAAAAAAAAAGCTCTATTTGATCTCGATCTAAACGTCTTATGTCTGACATTTCTTTGCCTCGACATATTCTAGATGCATGCATGTGCGGTGTGCCCCCTTCTTACTCGGTGCACCTTCCTTGGTGTGCCACCACAATGAGCTTGACCACCATGTGGCTCGACGGGGATTCCTTCATCGTAATGGCCAACGCCATTTCATGCTCGCCATTTCCAGCCGGTGGACATTTTTGTTCATCCCTCAAAGCCCATAAAAACAAGATTCAAGTGACCACATCTTACCACTTTGAACATCCAATCCATAACGGGCAAATATAGACCCTCAGGCCACCGCCGAGAAGATGCGTGCCAGCGAATTATAGCAAGAGAAATAATAACAGTGTCCCTAAAAAGGACAAATAATAACAGTCTGTATTTGATCCATCATATAAATGCCCATGCTGATAATAAATGGGACACGTCAGAAGGCATCCTACATTACCCTCATATCATTGCAGCCTTAAGCGAGCAAACCCCATTCCCATTACTAGTTACTAGGGTTCTTGGGATAAAACCCTTGCTACTGTCAACCGAATTACACTGTGCACATACCAGATATGCTAACTAATTAATGGCTGTCTTTAACTAATTCCTTTTGCTCTTGGTGACCACATCCCTCGCGTGTCATGGCGTCGCGTATGCATTCCGATTGATAGCTAGCTGTTGAGAATGGATGGACAATTAATTGGCCAGGGACGTGCGTGCCGCATATATAAGCACCACCATGCATCTCCGTGATCAGCACGTACGATTTACTGCTAGCCACCCCGTGCGTCCCAGTGTTGCATTTGCACCACGTTCTGCATGCACGCATGTCTAGTGGTGTGCTGCTCTCCGCCATGGGCATGGGCATGGACCGGCTCTTCGTCTTGCAGCTTCTCATGTCGGCCGCCTGCCTCCTCGTGCTACTGCTTCGTTATCGCGCCGTGAAACCCGAGAAAACGCGACGCCGGCGCTCCCCCGGGCTCACCCAGTGGCCGATCGTCGGCATCCTCCCGGCCATCGTCTCCAACATCCACCGGATCTTCGAGGGCGTCACCGGCATGCTGGCCCTCTCCGGCCTCAACTACCAGTGCCGCTTCTGGTTCGCCGGCTTCCGCTACTTCATCACCTGCGACCCGGCCAACGTCCGCCACATCTTCACCTCCAACTTCGAGAACTACCCCAAGGGCGACGTGTTCGCCCAGATGTTCGACATCCTCGGCGGCGGCATCTTCAACTCCGACGGCGAGCGCTGGCGGAGCCAGAGGACGAAGGCCCAGATGCTCATGACCACCCCGCGGTACCGCGCCTTCGTGGCGCAGTCCAGCCTCGACAAGGCGGTGCAGAGCGTGCTCCCGTTCCTCGCACACGTCGCCGACTCCGACACGACGTGCGACCTGCAGGACGTGTTCACGCGCTGGTCCTTCGACACGACCTGCAACCTCGTCTTCGGCGTCGACCCCGGGTGCCTGGCCATCGGCCTGCCGGACGTGCCGTTCGCGCGCGCCATGGACGACGTGCTGCGCACCGTCTTCGTCCGGCACATCATGCCGGTGACGTGCTGGAAGATGATGCGGAGGCTGGACGTCGGGCATGAGAGGAAGAACGCCGCCGCGCGCCGCACGGCCGACGAATTCGTGGCGGCCACCATTGCTAGCCGCAGAGCCGCCTACAACAAGCATCGCGCGGACAAGTCGGCGCCGACCTGCTGTCCTCCTTCATCTGCGACGAGGAGATTGCCGGCGACCCGGATGCGGACGTGTACATCCGGGACATGACGATGAACCTCCTGGTCGCCGGCCGCGACGCCACCAGCTCCGCCCTCTCGTGGTTCTCCTACCTCATCGCCACGAACCCGCGGGTAGAGAAAAAGCTCCTGGAGGAGCTGGCCCCCATAGCTGCCCGAAAACCCGTCGGACCCAACGGCATGGTGGCCTTCGAGGCGGGGGAGCTGAAGAACCTGCTCTACTTGCACGCGGCGGTGTGCGAGTGCCTCCGCCTCTACCCGTCGCTGCCGGTGGAGACAAAGGCGGTCGCCGCCCACGACGTGCTGCCGAGCGGGCACGAGGTGAGGCCCGGGGACAAGATCCTGGTGTTCAACTACTCCATGGGGAGGATGAAGCGGGTGTGGGGCGCCGACTGCCGGGAGTTCCGGCCGGAGCGGTGGATCTCCGAGGACGGCAAGCTGCGGTACGTGCCGTCCAACAAGTTCGTGGCCTTCAACTCGGGCCCCAGGACGTGCCTCGGGAAGGAGATGGTGCTGGTGCAGATGAAGGTGACGGTGGCGGCCGTGGCGTGGAACTTCGCCGTGGAGGTGGTGCCCGGGCACGTCGTGGAGCCCAAGCTCTCCATCATACTCCACATGAAGAACGGCCTCCTCGTCAGGGTCAAGAGAAGATCGGGTAATCCAGCCATGATCGGCAAGCAGCAGTAACCTATGCGTACTTGTACCGTTGCATGCATGCACGTACTGATGTAAGTGTCTATATTCCTTCATTTTTATTCGGCATATGTGTTGTCGGTGTGCAGGTGTCCAGTAATATGATTAAGTACACTGTAAATCATATTATCTCCGTCCCGGTGTATAAGTCATTCGCGTAGTTCTAGGTCAATAATTTAACTATCTAAATATGTATTATATGTGACAAAAAATATATATTTAGAAACTACACCCGTGTGGAAATCTAGTGGTATACTTTTCATGACATATAACACATATTTAATTTCTCAAATCGATGACCTAGAACTACGCGAATGACTTAGTGAGTTTCCTACATTAATTGCATGTATCATCAACTCGTTGATTGATCCGAAGACATATTTATACCGAAACTTTATCGATGGATCGGGCTGGGCTGGCATGCATAGTGCAGAGGCTTTGGTTTCCAATCTCAGCTAACATGACTGTGTAAGTAGGGACAATGCCGGCATGGTTGGTTGCTTGCGAATCTTTGGTTTGCATGCGTGACAGTGTTTTAATTCAATGGCATTCAATTCCATTCCTTGATTCATCATGCTGTCATGCATGATCGATTATTGATGCATGCCATGTTCGTTCATTCTGTATGTTTGTACGTGCAACGGGAGCTTATTGATTGAGCTGCCGCCGTGCCCATCATCACCGACTGATCGATCCCTTTCGCATCTAGTCTAGTATCATGCAGGAATATCAAAGTTAGTGTGACGACGACGTGCTCACGTACGTCCCCTTCGTCTTATTAATGGATGGACGGACACGGCTTCCCTGAATCTACACTCCCTCTATGCCACCAGTATGGAGAAACCACATTCTTAGTGGTATTTTCACAGAAATACAGATCTGAGAACAACTTATGTAAGTACTTATTTGTGATATAAATTCATCGACCACCCCGTTGGTGACAAAAGCTTCCTCACCACAATTTCAAAAAGGGAGTACCTAGAACTCATTTGGATGAGATATAATTTGGTCTCATTCACTTTGAAAACAAGAAACAGATACAACCCACGTTAGCACACACGCATCTTATATCATCACATTCAATGGCTATAAAAAGGTGAATAAGACCAAATTATATCTCATCTAGATGAGTTCTAGCAAAACTGTTTCAAAAATCATCAGGTTTCAGTTTTTTTTTCTTATATCCTTTACGAAAGCCATGGCTATTGGCTCTAAAAAAACAAATCGTTTGGACAATAAGACATAAGTATACTATATGATTGTGAAAAACTTCTCAGTGATATAAGGTGTAGTTTTCTTGATCTTATTGGCTCTAAAATGTACCATGTGGTTTTTTTTGTGATTAATAAAGTAAACTTAGAAAAAGATACAATATAATTTATGTTTAGTTTCCTTGATTTTTTCTAGTTTCATTTTGAAAAATAGAAATCTCAATTCATGTAATGTTTCGAATTCCCTATATTTGAACCGGTGCTTCTGCAAAGATTTGGACTTGATAAACTAATATGTCTCAATTACACCACATGTGCCTAAACTTGACGAGAAAAGTTTGTTTGGTGCTAAAAATTTGCAGCATACATTGAACCGGTGTCAGAACTTGGCTTGGGCGTGCATCTATGGTGATAATCACGTCATTATACGCACAGGGTGCCGACGAGGCACTCCGGCGTGGCGTGTGACCTATTGTTAGTGATTGGAAGGTGAGGGCGAGGGCATGTGACCTTTTTTTGCAGAAAACACTCTGAAATTATTATTTTCATCATGATAATGCCCCTTGATTTTTTTTAAAAATCCCCTGAATGAATACCTATATTGCAAAAAACACCTGAAACGTAACTACACCTCTATGACACTTGGGGCCCACCCATCAGGGAACACTACGAACAGGAAATTAATATGCAAAATAGTGCCTGCGGTGGTTTGAACGCGCAAACTCATCCTAAAAAGATGGCAAAGCTAGGTTTTTTAGGGAACCAATGGCCTATACAAGAACACGCACATTGGGGAATAAATGGGTTGCAGTCACTTCAGCCCATTTTTCACATGGTAGTTTTTTTTTAATTCATAATAACAACATTTGGGGTTTGTACGCAAATTAAAGCTTCATCTTCTGCTTTCAGTTTTGCTCTTTTAGTTTGCAGAGGAGAGACGAAAAAAAGGATGCACATAGCCCAGCTAAACTTGCCCTTGGTCTTGCTGCGGGTAGACATATTTGGCTACTACAACCACCTGATATAAATTGTATTCCGATGAACATTATCGCTAAGTAATAAAGAGGGTGTTTGGATAAAAAATAGAAACAAATACTATTATCACTCATATTTATTATTTAAAATAATATATGAATATTTTTAGGAATTACATGAACTTATTTTAGATAATAATATCACACATAAAGTGAATACATGAAAAAAATCAATGCATGAAAATAGCCTAAAATAAATGAATACATGAATAATATTTTATAATTCACTAAAATAATTATAGTTCATAAATATTATTTTAACTATATAAACATTTTTAAATAATACATGAATATTTTTCAGAATTAAATGAACATTCTTTCAAATAAGAAGATTTTTTAGAATTACATGAAAATATTTTAAATAAAAATATCTCTTAGAATTAGTTGAACATTATTTTGAATAAAAATGTTTTTTAGAATTACATGAACATTATTTGAAATAATAATATTTTTAGAATTACATTAACATTATTTACATAAGTTATTTTATTTGTAAGTATATTAATTACAATTTACATGATTCTACAGAATTCTAGGAAAGAAAAAACCTAACATGTGAGAAAGGGGCCTAAGTGACTGCAGCCCATTTAAGCCCTATGTGCGTGCCCCGCTATAGGCCATTAAAGATGGCTATCCCTTTTGGACAGCAAATGAGACTTGGTGTTCTGGTGGCTAGCTAGTCCAACGAGATGCAATATTTTGCATATCAATTTACACTTTGTAATTTATCCTGGCAGGTGGGGCCCAATGGTCATAGAGATTTATAGTGTGACGCTTTCTTGTCTTTTTAAGAAAAAAATCGAGGGGCTTTTTCATGAGAGAAATAAAATTCAAGGGGGGTTTCACACAAAAAACATGGGACACGCTCTCGCTCGTGTCGTCTAGTCAATGACACTAGGTCCCGCGCCATGCTGGCGTGCCTCATCAGCATCATGTGTGTATAAAAACGTGATTAGCATTGTAGATGCACACCCAAGCCAAGTCCTACCATCAATCAATGTACGCCGCAAGTTTTAGCACAAAATAGAATTTTCTCGCTAAGTTCAGGCTCCTGTGGTGTAATTGACTTGTAATATTTAGACCAAAATAAGATGAAAGCCTCATATTCCTTATTATAAATTTACGTTGTTTAGACTTTATGGTTTGAATCTTACACACGACTAAAGAAATATATTCACAATACAAGGGTCCATGTCCCCGTTAAGCGCCCGACAAATCTTGTCGTCCAATGTCTTGCCACAAAAGACATGTTACTATTTCTAATGTACAACTGTGTTTTATGTTTAAAGTAATCATGTTTAACTGGAGCTACACCTCGGTAATGTACAATTTGGGGAACAAAAAACAAACCATAGCACCAAAAATGTGAGACCCCCCTCCCTTCTGTCCCTCTGTGATCTCAAGCATCTTCACACCGAGAAAAAAAATCCTTTGCATCCCCGATGGATAGTTTTCCCTGCTGCCATCCTTCACGCGGTGGAATCACTCCCATTCCTAAGGTCATGGGTAGTACAAGGCGACACATGATATGGTGGACCAAGAGAAAGGATGGTCTTGATGAGGACACTCTTAGTCAACAACTACGAAACCTACACATACTACATCTTCCAAAAGATCTTCTTCATCAACAACGTTGAACCACCCTCCCTAATAAGGGTATTTCCTCTCATGGTCGATGAATTCCATAGCAATGCATGCACACTTAGCTAGTATCCAATAAATTCATTTTGTTATTCATCACTTCAAAAAAATCAATTTCATAGTGATTCTAGTTGTATTAATTTTAGATCTCATGCTTCTCTACCTGTCTTCGTTTAGACATGTCCATTACTAGAACAACGTAACATTTCTTTGGTTTATTATCAATTTCTCAAATCCTACTCTCAAAGTTCTTGTTGACCTTTTCTTATTTGGTTAGTTAACGAGTTTTATTTCATTGTATTTTCTTCTTTACCACGGAATATATTGGATTAGTTGTTCCCATACTTGACTTTGGATTGATTTGCTTTTAGTTAGATTATCATTTGGTAAATCCTACTAGGTACATCTGCCCTTGTATTGTTGGTATAATGTGCCTAGCTCAACCAATTTGATGATATGGATGTATCTACTATTATTCCTCTAGTTTGAGATTATGGAATGCATGTTTATTTGGGTTAGTTGGGTTATCAGTATTATTTCCTTTTTTACATGGCCTTAGTTGAAATGGATCCTCACATATGATCTATATATCTATTTGCTTCAGAGGTTACTAGGATTCAAGATTCTACCTTCATAGTTGTTTGTTGCTCTAGTATGTTACATTCATACACTATGTGAAAGCAAATTGTGATCTTTTATATCACAATGGGTCATGGAGTTATTCACAAATTATAGGGAAGCAAGCTACTATTGGATCCAATAGATCATTGGAAAGGTAATATTTGGAGTAATTGCTAAACAAATAGGAAGAGGGAGGCGATGAAGAAGAAAAATGATGTGTTTGAGCATTTCTAAGATGCCACTCGCATTGTACAAGAAATCAAGCTTGTTTGGATACTCCAAAACATAGTTGAGATCAGACATATCATGCTTCCCCCTACCCAAAGGGAGATTAGAAAACCACTCTTTAGATGTGTGTAGTTCTTTTATAGTTTGGCGACAAGGTGTAGTGTACTAGTGTCAAGAAGTTCTATTGTCTTTACATCGTGAGGATTCACACAAGACCTTGAATCCCGCTACCAAAGCTCACCTTTGGAGGCCTAGATAC